GAAACATTACAGGAGCAAGTCGAAGACAATGTGTTTGAGTGTGAGTAAGAAGGAAAGTTGGATGGAAGAATCAGTTGGTAGAGGCCTGCTCTAAGCTCTCCTTGCAGCAGGGGTGCTCTGGTGACTTTATCCTTAACAACACAACAATCCGCATTAAACTCAACAACAACATTATTGTCCTTGGTGAATTTAGATATACTAAGCAAATTTTTGGTTATTTTAGGTACACAAAGAACATGTTTTAAGTGCAAACATTTATTTTGCAAGGTACCACGTAAGGAAGTAAAGCCAGTATGTGTAATGTGTAGAAACTCACAACTTCCTACTTAGAGTTAATCAGATCCATCATAGTCTTTGCTGATGCTTAGCTGAGACAGATTAGAGGTAACATGTTCTATTGCACCAGAGTCCATGTACCATATGGGATCTTGTAGAGTAAATGCTGAAGCCGTGTAAACTGACATGCCTAGCAAAAGAAGTTGAACTTGATGCAAACGAAGCTGAGCTGGAAGACTAACCAAAATTGTCCAGCATAAGTAGCCTGGACTGATGACTGAGGTGTCATGTGGGGATTATTTGAAACACCAGAGTTGTGGTACGGTGGTGGCATTTGAATATTTCCAAAACCTTATTGTACTGAAGGTGGAACATTTGAGGAGCTAACACCATGCATGTAGTTCTGACTTTGATCACTAGGAACGTGAAACCCACTAGAATTGTTATACGAACTGCCAGGATATGTTCTGCCAAATTGACCAGAGCCATTATACATGGTCGAAGAATTGATGACGCCAAGTGGTTGCATACTGATATTATTATAAAGGCTTTGAGATCCAAGGCTTTGTGCATTGCCACTATAGTTATTGTAAAAACCTTGTGGTCTAGAACTTTGCATATAGCCACTATAGGCTGAGTTGTAGCTATGATAACACTGAACATCAATATGTCCAGTTTTATTGCACACTTGACAAACAGGTTACCTCTACCATTGTTTTTCTTCCGCAACCTCTACCATAATTGTTGAATTGAGCAGGTCTAAAAGAACTAAAGTTACCATAACTAGGTCCAAAGTTATTGTTAAACTCTGAAAAACCTTGCTGACCAATTTGAGCACCACAACTGGATTGTCCTATCTGTGTAGCTACAACAAGATAGACAATTTGGCCACTAGTTGATAAACTGTCAACTATCCCTTTAATTTTCCTAATGTAATCACTGATACTAAGGCTGTCTTTACTGGTGTTTTGAAGCAAATTTTTTAGGTGAAGTGCACGAGCTTTAGAGTTAGTTATGAATTCCCTTTCTAGTGCAAACCAAATATCCGCAGCATATTGGCACTTAGAAGTAACGAAATTTATCAATTCGTTTCCATAAAGTATAGGCTGGATTAATCTTTTCTTTCATAACCAAATTCATTAGTTTGATTATTAGCAATATTTTAATTAGTATTATCGCATTTCTCCAATATCAAAGGGGTGGGGCAGGGAACTAAACTTGTTAAGTGATCCTCCAACTCATGAGCTCCTACTCCAAATAGCTCTTGAGATCGCCAAAAATTGTAGTTGTCTCTAGTGAGTTTTGGGTAGATAACTTGGAGGCTGGAGGAAATCGCTGAAGGGACAAGATTGATTAAGTTGTACAACATTCTGTCTATGTTGTTTGCTGAATGTGAGCTCTCATTGTTATCTACCATTGACGTTAATCAAGGTTGCTCTGATACCATGTAAAGACTAGGGTTTGCAAGAATCTGTTGAGAGTAAAGAAGAAGAAACAAAAACGAATTTGGCTATCTAATTTATGTATTGAACTAACTAACTGAAAACTGGTACAAGAATCAGTTTTATAACTGATTTTACAAACATGAAACGACATCATTTTGGAGCTGAATTCTCAGCTACTTGCTTACTCAAAACGACAGTGCTTTGAACTGTTCTGTAACCTCAAAACGTCACCGTTAGACTTAATCTTCACACTTGGGCCTTCCTTTTCCATTGAATCTTTCAACTCATTCGGTGAATATAATGCACTGGCCTTCAGAAAATGAAATTTCTAATTCAGCCCCTGATTGGTAGTGATCAACATCCTGTTATGATATTTAGTAAACTATTATTTGATTTCTGTAAAAAAAAAAAAAAAAAAAAAAAAACACAATATAAGACTTTGATAGCTCTTCTGTCGATTACACATGGTTATACAATGTCAAAATCATTGATTGTAATACCATCATTATTTAAGGAGGACTACACCAGAGAATAACATTTCTCTTCCCCAATAATGCAAATGTGCCTTCATTGTAATAACCTTTAAATGTAGGTTCTAATACTAATTCTCATAATGTAAAATCAAATCTACATGTAAGAAATCTAATGATAATAAAATATAAAATTAACTATTCCTGCTGGCTAAAGGTCTTCTCTTGATAATATGAATAATACTTTGGGTACTAATGGATGGGTACTAATCTGTGTACTAACTAAAGCATAGTATCCGTACTATGCGCATAGTACGGGTACTATGCTTTAGTTAGTACACAGATTAGTACCCATCCATTAGTACCCATAGCATCACTCTGATAATATATAGGAAACTTGTTCTACAAAAATATTGATTTTGAATTAATGTAAATTTTATGATAACTTGTTCACATAAAAATTAATATCATTAAATGGTAAAAGTCATACTACAGTGTGTGGACCGACTCACTCAACTTGTTCACATAAAAATTGATAGCTCTTCTGTCGATTACACATATGGTTGTACAATGTTAAAATCATTGATTGTAATACCATCAATATTTAAGGAGGACTACACCAGAGAATAATATTTATCTTACCCTATAATGCAAATGCCTTCATTATAATAACCTTTCAATGCAGGTTCTAATACTAATTCTCGTACTATAAAATCAAATCTACGTGTAAGAAATCTATTGATAATTAATTAATTGCTAGAAAAATAAATTAATTGCTATTTAATTGAGGAAACCAAGACCTCAAGGCAACGCCTTTTTTGACTATTAAAAATGCACCTCTTTATTACTTCATCTCTCTTATATAAAATATTACAATTAACAAAATATAAAAATAATAGTAGCTAATGCCTAGAAAATAGGAGATGATCACTCTAATAATCACGTTTGCCACAGTCAAATATTATCTTTATTTGACTAATTCAACTATAACACATTAAAAAACAGATAATTTAATTAAAAATATATTTATTTTTTAAGAACGTAATATCCCGTTCCCCTTGAAAACACCCTTGTCCTCAAGGGTTTAATTTAACTAAGGTGGCCATGGAATCAGGACTTCCACTAGTAATTTTCAACTCTTCATCTGCATCATTGTCATTGAGACAAGCTTGAATCATGAACAATTTTTTGCAACGATGTTTGAGACCTAATTTTTCATTACATTTGAAGCATAATCCCCTTTTCCTTCTTTCATCTATTTCTCCCATTGTTAGTCTCTTGATTGGCATTGTTGCTGGACCACTTTGAGCTTCATAATTTGTGGACGAAACTTTGGATGAGACGAGATCACGGGCTTTGTTCCTAGCTTCGTAAAGCTTGGCTAACCCAATGGTTGAGGATAATGTTGAAGGCCTTCCCGCTTGATCTTCAATTTTTATATCTTCCTTTAATCCATTGATAAAACAACTTATCTGCTTTTCTAGTGCCAAATGTCTAGTTTTGGAAAGCAATTTTTCAAACTTAGTTTGATATTCCTCAACGGATCCTTGCTGCTGCAATTTGGTGAGTTTGTTTAAGGAATCAAAATATTGGTTTGGACCGTAATGACAATGAAGCCCATATTTGAATTCTTCCCAACTAATAACTGGTGTTTCCTACTTCAGGAGTTGATACCATAATTGGGTGTCTCCTTCTAAATAAAAGGATGTAAGCGACACTCTATCAGTTGATGGAGTGTCAGGAAACTAAACTCGGCATATCCAACTAGTAGGGTCTTCTTGGCCGTTAAAACGAGGAAAAATCAATTTGACTAACTTTGGTGTGTACGTGGAGTGAGAGCCATCCCCACTGCTACTACCATGAGCCCCACTGAGGCGGGTCTTAGCTCCAGAACTCTCTCCTTGCCTTGAAATTTGATCAATTCGGAAATTGAGTTGGGAGAATAATTCTTTTAGTTGATTGATGATGGCTTGCTATCCCCCTGACAGGGACTGCACTTCCTTCTCCAATTACTCCACTCTCTGATCCATGCCTGAGCTCTGATACCACTTTGATATGAACTGGTTTTTCTTTTTACAAGTACCTATATTGTAGAGTAGAGTTAGCTGGAAAAATAAATTAATTGCTGGTTTAATTGAGGAAGCCAAGACCCCAAGGCAGCATCTTTTTTTACTATTAAAAACGCATCTCTTTACTGCTTCATCTCTCTCTATTAAAAAGTCATGATACCGTGCATGGACCATCTCACTAAACTTGGGAAACGAATGATCTCAAAAGAACTCTATGAATAGAGAAAAAAAAAAAGAATTGTTAGATACAAGCACAGCCAATTAACATTCTCTACCAAGTTAATTGATTTTAGTAATGGCGTCCAAAGCTTTTCTCCTCTTCTCCTTTGCAATCCTCCTCCCTTCTCTCCTCTCTCATTCAGTTTTAGCAGACAACACCAATTAAAAAAAAACAATCACCATTTGAGTTCATGAACCATCTCCATGATTGTCATAAAGGCGACAAAGTTAAAGGCATCAATGAGCTCAAAAAATACCTTGAAAAGTTTGGTTACTTGAACGTAGAGTAGAGTTAGCTGGAAAAATAAATTAATTGCTGGTTTAATTGAGGAAACCAAGACCTCAAGGCAACACCATTTTTTACTATTAAAAACGCACCTCTTTATTGCTTCGTCTCTCTTTATTAAAAAGTCATGATACCGTGTATGGACCGTCTCACACAACTTGGGAAGCGAATGATCTCAGAAGAACTCTATAAATAGAGAAAAAAGATTGTTAGATACAAGCACAGCCAATTAACATTTCTCTACCAAGTTAATTGATTTTAGCAATGGCGTCTAAAGCTTTTCTCCTCTTCTCATTTTTAATCCTCCTTCTTTCTCTCCTCTCTCATTCAGTTTTAGCAGACAACACCAATGACAAAAAACAATCACCATTTGAGTTCATCAACCATCTCCAAGGTTGTCATAAGGGCGACAAAGTTAATGGCACCAATGAGCTTAAAAAATACCTTGAAAAGTTTGGTTACTTGAACTATAGCTCTTCCACGACTCAAAAGCATGCGAATGATGATGATTTTGATGAGCTATTAGACTCAGCTATCAAAACCTACCAGCTTAATTATCATCTTAAAGCCACTGGAGTTTTGGATGCCGAAACTGTTTCAAAGATGACAATGCCTCGATGTGGAGTAGCAGATATTATTAATGGCGCAACTCGAATGCGGTCTGGCCACAAAAGACATCACAATGCCTCCAGCCATTTCCATATTGTCGCTCACTATTCATTTTTCCCTGGAAACCCTAAGTGGCCAGCAAACAAGTACCATCTCACCTATGCATTTCTTCCAGGAACTCGAGCTGATGCCATGAACCCTGTTGCCAAAGCTTTCACGACATGGGCTGGAAATACACATTTCAAATTCACACGGACTCAGAACGCTAGAAATGCCGATATCACGGTTAGTTTCCACAGCGGTGATCATAGAGATGGTTCCCCCTTTGATGGCCCTGGCGGAACCCTTGCTCATGCCTATGCCCCAAGGGACGGAAGGTTCCATTACGATGCAGATGAGAGATGGTCTGTGCGTGCAACCCAAGGCTCATTTCACTTGGAGACTGTTGCATTGCATGAAATTGGGCATCTTCTTGGACTGGGGCATAGCTCAGTTGAGGGGGCTATCATGTTCCCTTCTATTTCTGCTGGAGTGACAAAGGGTTTGCATGGAGATGACATTCGAGGCATCAGGGCTTTATATAATGTTTAAGGAGTTATTTCAAGATTTCCTACCGTGAGATAAGAATAAATGAGACTTATGGTACCAAATAAATCAAGGGGGAAAGACAGCCAGTTGTACTTTCCATATTTTATCAGCTTCAAAATTTCAAAACAAAATGATACTTTTATTATCAGGAATAAAAACCATATACACTAGTAAATGATCACCATTGCTTTATATTTTATGTTTTTTGGGTATTGGAAATGTGTTCACTTAATTTAGAAGAACGTCTTGATTGGTTCATATATACATATATATACTAATATTGGTAATACTATTCCATTGGTCCTCACATAAATAAAAGAATGATTCAAGTTGAAAGAGATTTCTTTTTAATTAGCACATAAAATTGCAATATAATGACTAATGAAATACAAAATTCCTGAAGTTTTCATCTTGTTGTTTATATATATTCATCACCAAATACATACTAAGAAAACATTAAACATAAATACGTCAATGAGGCTAATTGAACATTCATCCGAAAGCTTTTTATATATCAGATTTCGAAACATACTTTGTAAATCCCCATGCTAATTATATATATATTCCCTTGGTTTTGTTTATAAGGAGGGACTTTTCTGTCAAATTTTAAAGTTTGGTTAGTGGTGAAAACGAAGAAATGGAAACTGTTGGATTTGCATGTAGCAAGGGCACAAAATCTGGATGTTTTTGTAAGGAAAAGATGATGTGGCAGGGTTATATTAGAATTAAGAGAATTTGGGGGCTGTTGTAAGAAAAAAAAATTGTTTTATATAAATTTGGGCTGCTCGCCCAAATGAAGAAGAAGAAAGTGGGGAGAAGAAAACCGAGAAAAAGAAAAGAAAGAGAGAAAGGAAGAGAGAGAAGGGAGAAAAGAAGGAAGAAGGAAGAAGGAAGAGAGAATGTTCGGCCGAGAGGAGGAATGGAAAGAAAAAGATAAATGAGGGAGAGAAAGTGAGGTGAAGAGAAGGATGATGCTTGGGGCAGCTGGGTATTTCGGGTTGAGCTAAATTTTTTTTGTGTGAGTGATTTCTTTAAAACTTTTCCAAAATCTGGACCTTTTTCGATTGCTTGTTAAGTGAATGTATTATCTCATGCTGTTTGATACAACTTACTGTTGACTGTGGCTTTCCTTGCTTGCATGTGTTCGGCTGAACATTTAATGAGTGAAACTTCTTCAGATCTGGTCCTAATGAAATATATTTCTGTTGCATGTCACTAGATCTTTCCTAAAAACACAAGACTCATGTTTGTATATTGATGTCTTGTTGAGAGTCTTGTTATTTTGCGAAACTGATTAAAAATCATCCCTTCATGCTTCGGCCAAGTTGTAACCAGTGTTAGTGTAAGTTAATCAAAAACTGATTTGTGCTGCTGGATAATATGCTTGGGTGTTTTTTTTAGCTGGACAGTAAACTTGATGGTGTTGGAAGCATGCTTTAAATAATGAATAAATGGGCCTGCTGTGATTCTTTTTTTTTTTTCTCTTATTTATATAATTATAACTCGCTTGAGCCGGTTGTAACTATTGCACTAGTTTTGGTCTATAAATATGTGACTTCATGCAACATATTTTTGGTATGAAAAGGGATGGTTTCGTGGAATTTTTTTATAATGGAATGTGTGCTTATAATGAGATGGAAATGGCGTTATAAAAAGGAATAAAATTTCGGCTGGTTAACATGCTTGGAAAGGCTGAAACTTTTGCTCTAGAATAAAATAATCACAAATGTTTTCTTGCTTGTTCCCGACATGGGGAAGTTTCTTTTTACTTGTAAATGAAGTGCTGTAAATGAGGTGTTTGGCTTGGTGTAATATAAGTGATTAAAAGGCAGGTCAAAGGGAGTTATTTAATGTCCAAGAAGAATTTATTTTGGTTTATTTTATTCAATTATTTGTGAAAATCCCTGAAGGCACCAAAGAAAATTTTAAGTACTTGTTTATTCATGTTATTTATTCTAGTATGAAATATTATTATTATTATTATTTGCTCTTTGGTTTAATTATAATTAAATGTGTCATATGGTTTTGGCTTTAAAAGTGATATTTGTTCATGATTAGTATCGACATATGCTACGATCATGTGATGTGAAGTAATTTTTAATTTGGGTTAAACCTCAGTTTCTGAACATGTTTAAAATTACGTTTCACCCTATATGTGATTTTGAATAATGTCTATATGCATGATTTATAAGCACTTATATAACTCTTGCTTATATGTTACTTGAGATTATGAATGAATATTTGTGGTGCTACAACGACCCTATGAAGTACCCTCCCCCAGTTTCAGGCTCTGCCCATGCGATGCAGGATTGCTGGGTATTGAGATATTCGGTCTTCAGGCTCTGCGCGGCGTATTGAGATATTTAGTGCTCTGTCTGGGCGTTGAGTTTGTCCGCCAAGTATTGAGATGGTTTTCTTCAGGCTCTGCCTGCGCGATGATAATCTTGCCGGGTATTGAGATGTATTTCCCACTCTGCCTGTAGTGGGATGCCCACCAGGTATCGAGATTTTTCCCCAGGGTACTATTTGTGGTGAGAACCTTTAGTATCAGTTTACTGTTTCGAAACAGGATATCGTTTAAAGTTTTCAGATACCAGCCTACAGTTTTCAGTATCAGTTAATAGTTTCAGTTTTCAGTATCTGATGGATAGTTTACATTAGTTATATAAACATTTGATGTTTGTAGCATGATTTATGGAAAACATTGTCTTTAGAAGATAAGCATTTACAGCTATTCTTTAAGTTCTCATAAAGAATTTTCAGCATTTAGTGATGGCTAGATTCAGAAATTGTTGTCAGTTTAATTGATCAGATTATAATACTTAGAACAATTAGAAATGAGTTATGCAGCATACATGGATGATTAGTGCCACCATAAAAGAATGTTCATGGAATCATGTTGTTTTCTGTATTTGATAAGAACCATTGCATGCCATACTTTTGTTTGACGAATGTTTTGCAAACTTCCCCTTTCCCCCCTCACTGATATTTTAGCTCACCCCCTTTCAAAAAAATGTTTTCCCCCCCCCCAGGTTTACAGGGAGATCGTGCCGAGCAGTGAGTCACCCCTCAAGGTTGTGCCACGCGTCGACATCTTTTTATGTGGGTTTTACATTTACGTCGTATTGTATCTTTGGACTTTCGTTTCAAAAACTCGTGTTTCCCATATGTATTTCCTTTTGTTTATGTTTCGAATGTGTTGTATAATGAAAAACCTGGTACCACAAGTTTCCTAAATTTTTTTTCTTTTGTAAACGAAAGATGTGTAGACGTTTTTTTTTTTTTTTTTTTTTTTTGAGATGTGGAAATGAAAATACTATGATGTTATTCAAAGAAGTAATTTCTTTAACATTTTCATATTTGTTTTCTACATGGCACTTTTTGGGTATCCGAGTCCTGTGCGGCACCGGGATCCTCCGGGATGAAGATACCGAATTGGGTGGCTACCTTATACCCAAAGGTACAACAGTGAACTTCTTGATAGCGGACATGGGAAGAGATCCGAATGTGTGGAAAGATGCTGTGGAGTTCAAGCCAGAGAGATTTCTGTTTAGCCATGGAGAAGAAAGTTTTGATATAACAGGAAGTAGAGAGATTAAAATGATGCCATTTGGTGCAGGGAGGAGGATTTGTCCTGGTCTTGGTTTTGCTATTCTTCATTTAGAGTATTTTGTGGCAAATTTGATTTGGCATTTTGAATGGAGTGCTGTGGATGGTGAAGATATTGATTTATCAGAGAAGATAGACATCACCATAAAGATGAAAAATCCATTGCGAGTTCATCTATCTTCGCATAAATATTGCTCTGAACCCTTTTAATTTAATTCTTGTTGATGGTTGAAAATTTTTATGTATAAATTTCTACATCAAGCAGGAACCCATCAAATTTGACCTTCTTTTATTCCTTGCATAATTTTTTTTTTTTTTCTGAATTTAAAGAACATAGCAATACATGATTTTTGTATTATTCATCATATCATCCTACATAAATTTTTGGGATGATCCAAAATCTTAAGCAAATGGAGTGGGCTTTGAGTGTTGCGCTTTGTGCAAGGTCCATTAGTAGGTGCTGAAAGTTGAGAATGGTTCTAATTGGGCTTCGAGTTCTTGTAAGGGTATGGAGCCCTATTATTTCCACCAAATGAGGTGAGATTATTTAGTCGGCTATTTAGTCATTGTCTTGTTCCCAACCCGTGGCATGCCTCGAGATAGAAAGATTTTTTGTGCGTATTTACATAGTCTTTTCTAAGCTTTTTTTTTGGATTCTAATCCAGGAGATTATCCTGAGGTAGGTTGACCATCTTTTATAGGTATTTTGTATATTCTTTTTCTCTTTTTTAAGGAATCATATATGAACTTACAATTGTGACGTTAAAATATATAAATTATTACCTTGGTTAGCTGCAAGCAACCTGTCAGTAGCAGAGACTCCACAGGGATTGAAGAATACTTCCATTAATTAACTTGCAATTATACAATATTAAACTGACATTATTGAAAGAGTGTATCAAATTATAAATAAAAGAGCAGGTGTAAACTAGTTGACTTAATGAGTGAAACATCTTGCTTCTTTCTGAGTTGATTGCATGAAAATGCATTGACATCAAAGCATGTTGTGTTAAATTTTTGTGACAGATACAGTCATAGCAAAGGAGTCATACCAAAAACTATATATATTCTTTCTCTGTGTCTGACATTTAAATTAAATCCCAGAGGCAAATTGTCAGCATCTTGAGTACGTAAAGAAAAAGATATTGCTAGGTCTGTAATGTAATCACTAATGAATGCCGGCCTCCTGGAGTTTACTTTTGCCTTTCTCACACAATTTTATTGAAAATATATGACCAAAAACTGTTTAATAACGGGGGTACTTGTCCAAAGTTTAGGGNGGGCTAAGTTCTGTGCAGTGAATGGAGTGGTAGCAGGAACATTATTTGCGAAAGACATGGTTGAATCGAGGAAGGTGTGTACCCAAGGAAAGCTCTGATACCATATAAGATTTAAGAAAGAGACGTAAATATGAGAATGCAGCTTTATGCTACTGCTGTTGTATTGATTCATATATATAGAGTTACATGATAGCAAACTACGGTTACATGAAATCAGAAATGCGTACAAAGTCATATCTCTATTATTCAAATACAGATAATAACAAGATGAACAAA